GTAGCAGCGCTGAGCGGCCGGGGCCGTGGAGGGCGGCTGCTGGAGAGCAGGTGTCGGCAGTGCCGGGCTCTCCGAGGACACTAAGTGTATTGGGCAGGGTGCAATGAATGGTTAATAAAGGGTGGATAGTGGTGGCTGTGAGGCTCTGGCTGTGTCCTGCCCATCCTGGCCTTCCCTCAAGGTGGCAGGACCGGGGTCGAGGCCACTGTACTGCACCCAGTGCAATGGGAACAGCCTCACAGAACGGGGCAGGGTGGAAGGGACCACAGTGCTCATCTGGTCCAACCTCCCTGCTTAAGTAGGGTCATCCTAGAGTACATTGCACAGGATTTTATCCAGGCAGTTCTTGAATACCTCCAGTGGGGGCTTCTCCACAGCCTCTAGGGGCAGTGTGCTCCAGTGCACGGTCACTTGCAGTGACTGCCCTGGCACAGTCGCAGGGACAGCTGGAGAACAAGCTGCACGCTGCCCTGCAGGACAAGAACTGCTCGGAAGAGAAACAGAGATTCTCCAAGGAAAGATTTCTCTGCTGGAGGACCAGCTGGCCAAGCTCCCTCTCCAAGAGCCACTGGGCCTGGGAAAGGCTGGTGCAGGACCTGCAGGCACAGGGTGCGGAGGGGCAGGCTGGGCAGCTGGCCCCCCTCAACACCCAGCATGAGCAGACCCTGTGGGAAAGGGTCTTCCCAGCAGCAACTCTGCAGTTGTGGGAGACCAATGCATCCCTGAGCAGGTATCCATGGATACCAGCCAGGCCACCTTGTCCGAGGAGCCCCAACCTGCTCTAGGGTGCAGCAGAGACACAGATGTGGCCGGCTGAACGGCAGCTGTTATTCAGACAGTTGCATGGTTTAAATACATTACATACATTTCTACAGTGCATTAGAACAATACATTTTGGGTCAGTCAGATGCAGCTGGGCCTGGCCGGGGAGCTGGGGTCTCCACTGCTGCCCCCCCCTGTGCTTGCACAGCCAGTGCTGAGCACGCTACCCATTGCAGGAGACAGGGGAGCTGCTCTCCCCTCCCAGGCCCACACAGCAGAGCCCCAACCTGCCATCATCCCCTTCACTCCCCGAGGATGGGCTAACAGGACAACAAGACCCAACACCAATTTCCCCCAGCAGCAGGAGAAGCCACAGCTCAAGGCAAGCAAGTGCAGGCAGCAGCCCTGATACTGTTCCATACAACACAAGCTCAGCAGCTGCTGGGGAGAAGGGGGCTCCCTGCCTCCCCCACCCACAGCAAGCCTGCGAGATTGTCAGCTCCAAGGCAGCCAGGAGTCCATGCTGGTCCCCTAATGCGCCCACCCATGTGGCAGAAGAGCCCCTCCAGCCCTTCCCTGGCAGACCCCTGCCCCTCGAGGGGGTCCCTAGGCACAGACAAGGCTGGCACCATGCTGGCTGCACAGCAGCCAGGCAGCTTGCTGGGAGCAGGGGAAAAAGCCAAGCGAGAGCAGCTGTGGAAACCTGGCAGGAGAAATGGACTGGGGAAGCAGAGGGGGAGCCACCTGCTCTTCTCAAGGATAATCCAGCACCTCTTTCCCCTTAGTGTCTAACTGCACCCAAGCCAGTCCCATGTGTTGTCCCTCTTATGTCCCCTCCTCGAGCCCCCAGCCAGAGAACAGCCATTCATTGTGGTCCCCGCTGCACCCGTGGGCAGCAGGAACTCCCCCTGAGGAAAGCAGTGTGCACGGGGTTGGGGCAGAGGAGGGACAGTGGAGGAGTACACCACACCCTTAGGGAAAGGGAGGGGGTATCACCTTCTACAGGCCTTCCCAGCCCAGCAGCTGGCACGGTGGGAAAAGAAAAGGGCCAGTGGCTGGTGTAAAGGGCTGGACGGATCCTGGCCTGGGCAAGCCTGTTCATCAGAGCCCCATGCAGAGGTGCTCAGAACCGCATGCAGGCCAAGGAAGGGAGGCAGGGGCAGGGTCCCAGCCACGCCACAGTTCCCAGCGGATTCCCACACCTCCCCTGGCCTCTGCCCCAGACAGGGCACCGAGCTCCAATGGAGCTGGGGAGGGACCATGCCCAACCTGCCTGGCTCCTCCAGTTCAGCTGCAGGTTCCTCCAGCTGCACCTGCTCGCTCTACCCTGAAGGCCAAGTCCCAGCCACAGAAGCCAGCAATGGCCCAGCTCCTCTTGCAGTGCTAGTCCGAGATGGCCAAGCCCTGTCTGTGGCTCCCGCAGCTACCACCATGAGAAGAAAGGCTTCCGGCTCTGGAAGCTCTGCGTGTAGGACTCACTGGCAGAGCGCTGGTGGGAACGCGCTGTTTCCACAATCACAGGCGGCATCTGAACCAGGTGCAGCGGGCTCTTCCCGTCTTTCAGCGCCTGCGTCAGGTTCAGGATCTGTATGGCACAACAGAGCAAAGCCTGAGCTGCCCTGCAGGAGCAACAGAGAGCATCCACTCCAGCACCCTTCCTATCACACAGGCAGGACGAGACTCCACCTCTGCCTTCCCCACACACAGCTTACCTGGCCTCTCATGACAGCAATCTGCTTGTGAAACTGTCCTCTGTCAAAGCCAGGGTCTTTCTGCAAAAGAGAGAACACAGTGGGATCCATCCACTGCCTCATGCCATGCACAAGATGACTGCTCCTCAAGTAAGCCTCTCCCCCTGTCCCATGGGTTTCCTGCTTCTCCCCATGCTTAATCTTCAGCTCCTGGTAGAGTGAAAACCCTGCTATGCCTCAGCCCGGAAACACTGTTAGAAGCTTGGCCACCGTTCTTTCCCCTGCAGCCTTGGGAGCTCCCCAACACCACTCCCACTTTTTTTCCTCCCATATCATCTTCACCCACTTCCCCAGCACACCTTGAAGAGCTCATACAGATCTTCCTCCAGGTCCTTGACAAAATTGGGGTCTGAGATCTTGGGAAGAATCAGGTCCTTGATCTCCTGTGAAAAGGGGATTTTGGCCTGGGGAAGCCACGCCCAGTAGAAGGGGTCTGTGGGAGGAAGCAGGAGACATGAGAACTTGGGAAGGCAAAGCACGGTGCCACATGTCCCTTGATTCCCCTGCATCTGGGACCCAAGGTCCAGCATCAGCTTCCTACAGTCTCTGCTGAGAAAGAACTTCCCATGAACCCAGAGATTTGCAGAGGCACAGCCCTAGTCCTCTCCTCTACAGTCCTTAAGGAGGATGCCCAAGCATGGGGTTGTATGGCTTGCCACAGTGTCCTGGCACAGCCTAAGGGACTCACATGCTCTCCAGGAGTCTGGGTGTTTCAAGGGAAAGGCCAAACCGTTGTCTATAGCAGCCAGCTTGATGATGGGCTCCTTCACCACCACCCAGTCACTGTCCTGGAAGGAAGCAAAGCATGTCATAAGGAGGCCTCCCCTAGCAGGAAGAGTCCCTCTCCCACTCCAGCCCCACTGCCAGGATCTTTGCCCTGGCTACCACAGAAGTACAGCAGCCTCTTGCCTTGTAGCATAGCCCCTTGCCCACAGGGAAACATTATCTGTTTCGGGTGGGAGGGGAACAAAGCTGCTTCCCCCCAAGGCCTCACTCTGAGGATTCACAGGTCCAGCAACACCAGTTTTCCCCACAGAGCATTCTCACAAAGTCCCACTAGGCCACAAACCACCAACACAAAGGGTAATAAAAGGCCCAGGAGACAAGATCAGGTGTCCACACGCTTGGAACCCAGATGGGAAATTCCTGTCTGGCCTGACAAGCAGTCAGCTTCCAGAAGCGGAGTCCTCATGTTGCCCCTGCCCAGGAGGAGCCACTCACCCGCACGCCTGCGCTGTCCAGGGGACAGTCATACTTGATGAGCCAGTTGTCATTGCCCCGATCTGCAGGGAGATAAAACCAGCTGCGTCACCACCAGGGCCTCCCTGCACTGTGCTGGGCAGAAGACTATTCCTCCTCTGACCCAGAAGTGAGACAGAGACATTCTAGGCCCAGAGACCTTAAATTTGCTGTGGGCCTGGGAAGTCACGTCAACCCTCACAAAGCTAGCCCTGGAGGTCCACGTATTCCCAGTTTGCAAGAGAAAGGTCAGCCTGCAAGCCCCAGAGTGCAACCCCGACCCTTCCAGCCAGGCAGGAACTCAGGAACCCACTGTGAGATGCGATATAGAGGCACAGCCAGGTGTTGGATCTCTGGATGTCCCTGGAACCTCACAGCTGGGAAACTTTCAGCCAAGCACAGTGGTGGATCCAGATCTGCTAGAACGCAGGCCAGCAGCCAGAGCCCCCAGTGCTGGATGGCCACAGCAGCTGCACTCTGCCCAGAGGCAGATGTCATCTGGCAGCAACTGAGTGGCATTGAGAAGAATTTCAGGTGCTGGGAAAAGCCAAGACCCTATCTCCCTCCCCTTTCTCCAACATGATAGGACATGACGGAGCAGGCAGCATCCCACACGAGGCAGCTGGCCCTACCTGTGTTCCTGATGATGTAGTCCAGCACCACCAGCCGCTCAAACTGCAGCAGCAGCTGCCGGTTGGTGTTCTCCGGGAGTGGCTCAGCCTCAAACCGCCGCAGCCAGTAGTCAGCATCCTTGTAGCCTTCCACAAAGAGCTGGAAGGAGCCCACCTGAGGCAAGGAGAGGCTGTGTCACGGAAGGCCACAGAGGGCAGGGAGGTGCCGGCAGGCAGGTGTGCAGGCTGGCAGCCCTACCTTGGGTGGCAGACCAATGCGGTTGAAGCGCTGGCCGACTTTCGGCACCTTCTCCAGGGCCAGCCTCTTTCCTCGGGACTTCACCCTGTCGATGGCACTGTAGTTAAAGGTCTCACTGGCCAGATACACCACCTGGGGGGACAGGAGTGCAGTCACAGGACTGCCTGATAAAACCAAGACACAGCATTTCTCACAGCTCTGCCCAGCACAAGCATCCCCACAGCTAGAGCAGGAACAGTCCTGGTCTAGAGCTCTCAATCTACGAGGTCAGCAGTGCCACAAGACAAGACACAAGCAGAGCCTTCCCAAAAAAGATCCCAGCAGCTTTCCTCTCACCTTTGTGCGGGGAACAATATTGAGTTCCAGTTTTTGGTCTACCAGGCTGGCACCCGCCTCCGACAGGTAGCCCTGGTTCAGGACCAGGCAGTCTCTCCCAAAGCAGCACGGGCAGCACAGCTTCTGCAGCCACTTGGTCCACTTGGGGTTCAGCTGCCCGTATGGCTCCTCATTCTTGGGCTTGAAGACGCCAATAATTTTCTGTGAGTGGGAGGGAGGAAGGCTGATTCCAGGCACTTGGCAGAGGTGGGACCACCTCCCCCAGCCCACAGTGGGGACATTCAGGAACAGGCCCCCAGAACAGCCCTTCACTGGGACCAATAACCAACCCCTGGGACCAGGCAAACCCTGCAACTCCCAGGAGGGAGGCAAACAGGGGATGGGAGGGACTCCTGCCCAACCAGTGACCCATTCCACAAAAGTGGGGTACTGCCCAAAGACTTTGTCCGAAAAAAACACCAGTGATGATGCAGTCCCCTGGTAAACATACCAGTCCCATTCCAGTAACCTTTGGATAGCCGGAGAATGTACTGCTCATTGTTGGTCATTACATCCACACAGAAAAGGGAGGGAATAGCAAATCTTGCCCTGGCTCCAAAGTCCATGGAACAGAGCTGATCCCCAACTGACCAGAGAAGGGACCAGCCCAGGCAGGGCTCTGTGCTGGGGGCCCAGCAGAGACAGCAGAGGGGCTGGCTCTCCCAGTCAGCTGTGTATGAAAGGGCACAGGTGGCTTCAAACTGGCAATCAGATGGTACCAGCAGCACACTCGGCCCCTCAATCCAGCCTCGCGCACACTGACCCGACAGTGGGGGCAACAGCACAGAGGGCACAGAAGCCTTTGCTTCACCAAGCCAGGGTTGCAAAGCCACACAGATGAGACAAGGGCTGGGGCAGGAGAAAGGCCACCTGTCCCCAAAGGCCAGGGATCCCTGGGGGGCTGTGCAGCAGCTCCAGGCTGGCAGCCCCCGCTCCAGGGTGACTCAGGAGCACACGCCACAAGCCCTCCTCCCCAAGGCTGGTGCCAGTCATGGCCTGAGTGGGTGACACTTCCCCAAGCTGAGCTCTTGTCAGAATGTGGAAGTTAAATATGAGTTTCGGCACCTCAGCAGGGAACCCCAGTGCAATCCCAGTCTGTCAAGGGCCAAAAGCCAGCCCAGGGCAGGCAGAAGCAAGGTTTTGTCCACTAGGAAGAGGGACAGGAAGGGTTTGAGGGAACAGGATCACTTGAGCCAGGATCACAGCCCAGATCACATGGTGGAGCCACTTCCACTAGGCAGGCAGGCAGGCAGGCAATCCCCTTCACCAGCCCCACGTGAAGGCACACAGCTGCCAACACGTCCTTGGATATGAGCCTGCAAAGAGGCTTGTCAGGAGCTCTGGCAGGACGGAGCCCTGTGTTCTATGGAGCCATTCCAGCAGAGCAAGGTCCAGCTAGGCAGGGACAGCAGGAAAGTGGTGGCCAGAGTTCTGGCAGCGCAGTGTTCCCTTCCAGGCAGACCTGTGCCGGGAGCAGCACTGGCAGGGAAAACAGGTCTGCCTGGTGCCAGCAGCAGAGCAGAGGGAGCCCAGCCAGCACAGGAGCACAGTCAGCAATGGGGTGACCACAACCGCCAGGGCTGGGCAGCACAGCCTGGTTGGGACAGCTCGGGCCCCAGAAGCCCTGAGGGAAGCAGACACAGAGGAAAGGTTTTCCCCCCAGTATCTTCCCCCTGCTGCCCACAACATCCACACACTGCACTCTCTCCCATGCCAGTAGTGGGACATTTTTGGCAACCATAGACAGAAACCAGTCACACAACAAATTTGCTGACAGCAGGGCAGTCCAGGGGACCCGCCAGGTGACAAGGCCGGGATTACACAGACTTTGGCTCCTCGCACTTATGTTCCACCAGCCCTCCTTGAGCTCGGGTCTCCTACAGCCAGGCAGCCTCTGCCCTGCCACCCCCAGGCAGCTCATCCGGCCACCCACTCCAGTGACTCCAGGTCTCATATTGGGCAACAGGAGGGAGCAGGAGGGAGCAAGGCGGTGTCAGGAGGAACTGTGTATTTCCCTAGAGACCACCAGCTCAGCTGGGACCTGCCTGTCAGAGCTCCCAGGAGCCAGGCTTCACCCAGGGCAGGAAAACTAGAGCACATCAGAGACCAGAGAGCCCAGTCCTGCTCCTTAGGAAGCATCCCAGCACACACGTGGTGAGGGAGTCACAGGAAGCAGCAGCAGCTCAAATAATTGGTCTGGGTGCAGCAGGTCACAAGACAAGCCAGCCTGTGCTGCAACACATCCAGTCAGCAGCACAGAGATGGCTGCCCCACAGCTGACCAGGTCTGTGGGGGACCAGCTACATGCCAAGCACTTTGCCTCCACTATAGCAACAATACAGCCACAGAGGAGACATCTCACTCCTCTCACAGGCCAAAACCAGCTCAGCTCACAGAATCACAGGCCTAGAGCTGGAGTCACCATGGTTAGGAGATGCACAGACCTCGGAGAGAGTGTGACCTCTCCTCTGTGGGCACGAGAGCCACAGAAGATGCTGAATCAGCACTTGGACACACCCTCCCCCCCATTCTGGCTGCTGGTCCCACTGCACTTCTCGCCAGGGAAGCTCAGACCAGCTCTCCACGGCCGGTAACCCCCGGACCAGCACCACGAGTTCTCCCTGCAGGAAACCCCTCCGCAGCCCGCAGGCCCCGAGGACCACGCGGGGCCGCGCCCGGCTTACCCCCTGCGGGTCCTTAACGAAGTAGCTGCCGCTGGAGCCCTGCGAGATGCGCTCGGGAAAGATGCCGCGCTCGCTGGCCAGCTCAGCCCG